ATGTTTTAAACTACAACTCCCATGATCCCATGGCTACCAGTCATAATTCCCTGGCTATCTGTTTCATTAAATGAATAATGGGCGTTGGCGGTTTTATTTAAAGAATAATGGGCGTTGTAGTTCAAAAACATCTGGGGGGGGGGCAGGTTGTGCAGGCCTGCTCTAGTGCATTTTTTTTTAATTACAAATTATGAAAAACCTATTAATGCTAACTAGTGATGTCGCGAACATAAAATTTTCGGTTCGCGAATGCGAACTTCCGCAAATGTTAGCGAACTGGGTGAACCGCCATAGACTTCAATAGGCAGGCAAATTTTAAAACCCACAGGGACTCTTTCTGGCCACAATAGTGATGGAAAAGTTGTTTCAAGGGGACTAACACCTGGACTGTGGCATGCCGAAGTGGAATCCATGGCAAAACTCCCATGGAAAATTACATAGTTGATGCAGAGTTTGTTTTAATCCATAAAGGACATAAATCACCTAACATTGCTAAATTGTTTGGAATAACGTGCTTTAAAACATCAGGTATGATGTTGTATCGATCAGGTAGTGTAAGGGTTACGCCCGCTTCACAGTGACAGACCAAACTCCCCGTTTAACGCACCGCAAACAACCGCAAACAGTCCATTTGCACAACCGCAAACTACCCATTTGCACAAGGTTAGTTACCAAGCTAGCCATGTCCCGTTCCTTGTCCTCACTGATGTCATTGAAGGTCTCTTCCTCCACCCAGCCACGTACAACACCAAGGGTCCCCAAAAGGTGACAACAAGCCCCCTGGGACGCCTGCTGTTTGGTCTTCCACCTCCTCAAAGCCACCTTCCTCCTCTGACTCCTCTTCTTCAGACTCCTCTCTCTGCGTTATTATAAGGTGTGTTAAGTAGTACTATTCCTATCAGTTTAATCCCTGTTACGTCCCCTATCAGGGGATGTGTATATGGCATCAATTTTAGGAACCGGGAGATGGAAAAAGATGCTTGGTCGGTCCCCCTACTTCAAATTTGGGGCACTGTGCGTGCAATCTAATGTGCCACCAGATAGGAGTGGTGTGTTAAGTAGTACTTTTCTTATCAGTTTAATCCCAATGTCACGACTACTAGTGTGGTCCAGCATGCAGAAACTATGTAAACATATACATAGGCAAGAAAAGGAAAATAAAAGGAGAGAGTGTAAACCGGACCTTAGAATGGCCGGACTAATACGCTAGAGACAGAGAATGGTCAAAGGGAACGCTGAGGTCAAGGAAGCCAGAAAATACACAATACCGTTTACACAAGCCAAGTCAGGGAAACCAGAATTCAGGGAAACCAGGGAAAAGCCAAGATCAGGATACCAGGAAGCCGGCAGCCGCGACACCCTGTTATGTCCCCCTCTTCAGACATTTTTTAGTCGAATGTATCGCCCACTGTCAGTCCCTTCGGGATCCATCCCTCATTCATCTTAATAAAGGTAAGGTAATCTAGACTTTTTTGACCTTGGCAACTTCTCTTCTCAGTGACAATACCTCCTGCTGCACTGAAGGTCCTTTCTGACAGGACACTTGAAGCAAATTCTATCGCAAATTGGGATAGCTCAGGCCACAGGTCAAGTAGTGAAGGGGTTCATCGCTCCTCAGAGTGTTGATATCTGCAGTTAAGGCAAGGTAGTCTGCTACCTGTCGGTCGAGTTGCTCTCTGAGGGTGGACCCCGAAGGGCTGTGGCGATGCGTAGGACTTAAAAAGCTCCGCATGTCCTCCATCAACAACACGTCTGTAAAGCGTCCTGTCCTTGCCGTCGTGGGAGGAGGAGGATTACTTTCACCTCTTCCCCTGTTAGATTCCCGTTGTGCTGTGACATCACCCTTATACGCTGCGTTAAGCATACTTTTTAATTGATTTTGGAACTGCTGCATCCTTTCCGACTTGCCGTAATTCGGTAACATTTCAGGCACTTTCTGCTTATACCGGGGGTCTAGTAGCGTGGACACACAGTACAGGTCTTTCTCCTTCAGCCTTTTTATACGAGGGTCCCTCAACAGGCACGACAGCATGAAAGACCCCATTTGCACAAGGTTGGATACCGAGCTACTCATGTCCTGTTCCTCGTCCTCAGTGATCTCACTGAAGGTATGTTCTCCCCGCCCCCCCCCAGCCACGTACAACACCACGGGTACTAGATAGGTGACAACGAGCACTCTGGGATGCCTATTGTGGTTGGTCTTCCTCCTCCTCCTCCTCAAAGCCACATTCCTCCTCTGACTCCTCTTCCTCACAATCCTCTTCCAGCGTTGCCGCAGGTCCAGCAAGCGATGTTGATAAGGCTGTTTCTGGTTGTGATGGTGACCACAACTTTTCCTCTTCACACTCATCTACGGCCTGATCCAGCACTCTTCGCAGGGCAGGAAGAAAACAAATGGTATGATGTCGCTGATGGTGCCTTCGGTGCGACTGACTAGGTTTGTCACCTCGTCAAAAGGACGCATGAGCCTACAGGCATTGCGCATGAGCGTCCAGTAACGTGGCAAAAAAAATTCCCAGCTCCACAGAGGCTGTCCTAGCACCCCGGTCATACAAATACTCGTTAACGGCTTTTTCTTGTTGGAGCAGGCGGTCGAACATTAGGAGTGTTGAATTCCAACGTGTCAGGCTGTCGCAAATCGAGCGCCTCACTGGCATGTTTTTTCGCTGCTGGATATCTGAAAAGTGCGCCATGGCCGTGTAGGAACACCTGAAATGGCCACACACCTTCCTGGCCTGCTTCAGGACGTCCTGTAAGCCTGGGTACTTATGCACAAAGCGTTGTACGATCAGATTACACACATGTGCCATGCACGGCACATGTGTCAACTTGCCCAAATGCAATGCCGCCAACAAATTTCTTCCGTTGTCACAAACCACTTTGCCGATCTCCAGTTGGTGCGGAGTCAGCCACTGATCCACCTGTGTGTTCAGGTCGGACAGGAGTGCTGGTCCGGTGTGATTCTCTGCTTTCAGGCAAGTCAACCCCAAGACGGCGTGACACTGCCGTATCCGGGATGTGGAATAGTACCTGGCGAACTGGGGGGGTGCCGTTGATGTGGAGCAAGACGCAGCAGCAGAAGAGGACTCAGCCGAGGAGGTTATGGAAGAGGATGGAGTAGGAGGAGTAGAGGAGGTGGCAGAAGGCCTGCCTGCAAGTCGTGGCGGTGTCACCAACTCCTCTGCAGAGCCACGCATTCCATGCTTGGCAGCCGTCAGCAGGTTTGCCCAATGCGCAGTGTAGGTGATATACCTGCCCTGACCATGCTTTGCAGACCAGGTATCAGTGGTCAGATGGACCCTTGCCCCAACACTGTGTGCCAGACATGCCATTATTTCCTTTTGCACAATCGAGTACAGGTTGGGGATTGCCTTTTGTGCAAAGGAATTTCGGCGGGTACCTTCCACTGCGGTGTCCTAATAGCTTTAATTTTTTTTGAACGCCTCAGACTCCACCAGCTTGTATGGTAAAAGCTGGCGGGCTAAGAGTTCAGTCAAGCCAGCTGTCAGACGCCGGGCAAGGGGGTGACTTTGTGACATTGGCTTCTTACGCTCAAACATGTCCTTGACAGACACCTGACTGTGGGCAGATGAGCAGGAACTGCTCAAGGCGAGAGACGGAGGGGCGGATGGTTGAGAGGGGGCAAGGAAGACAGCAGTGGTTAACGTGGCTGAAGATGCTGGACCAGGAGGAGGATGGCGGCTTTGAGTTTGCGTGCTGCTTGTACTCATGTGTTGATCCCATAGGCGTTTGTGATGTGCGATCATGTGCCTTCGCAAAGCAGTTGTACCTAGGTGGGTGTTGGACTACCCACGACTCACTTGCTTTTGGCACAGGTTGCAAATGGCATCGCTGTTATCAGAGGCAGACACAAAAAAAATGCCACACTGCTGAGCTCTGCAATGACGGCATTCTGGTGGTGGCAACAGCATGCGTTGATTGGCGTGCTGTCTTGCTGACCCCGGGTGCCGATGCATGCTGTCTGACTGTGCCACTAGCTCCTTGCGACGACCTCCCTCTGCTTCCAACTCGTCTCCTCCTCCTCCTCCTCCTCCTCCTCCTCCTCCGTCTCCCCATCTGAACTTTCCCCCTGTCTTCTCTTCTAGCGGGCACCCATGTGACATCCACGGACGCATCGTCATCATCAACCGCTTCACTTGTATCTGAGAACTCGGCAAAGGAAGCAGCAGCGGGTACATCATCATCGTCACACCGTACGTCCATGTGTGTAATGCTGCCTGACTGAGACATATCCCTGTTATCTACATCCTCTGGCAATGGTTGCGCATCACTCATTTCTTCCAACTGATGTGTAAATAACTCCTCTGACATACCAAGTGAAGCTGCTGTGGTGCTAGTGCTGGTGGTGGCGGCAGGCGGGCAAGTGGTCACTTGAGAGGTGCCCGAAGCTAAGCTGGAGGAGGATGGTGCGTCAAGGTTGCGAGCAGAAGCTGTAGAAGATTGGGTGTCCTGTGTTAGCCAGTCAACTATGTCCTCAGAACTTTTCGAGTTCAGGGTACGTGGCTTTTGAACACTGGGCATTATTCTAGGGCCAAAGGGAATCACAGCACCACGACGACGACGGCCCCTGCAGGGTGGCCTGCCTCTGCCTGTCATTTTTTTTTCGATTAGTGGTACTATGCGTGCAAGCTACTGTGACAACAGATATGAGTGGCACTGTGCAGTGGCAGAAGTTGGCAGAGTAGACGCTGTAGGCCTGACACGCTTGCAGACAACTAACTGCTATTCAATCTATTACAGTCAAAAAAAAATTTTTTTTTTTTAAATGTACACTACTGTTACACCAGATATGAGTTGCACTGGTGTGACACTGTGCCCTGGCAGGCCCTGAAACGCACACGCGTGAAGGAAACTGACTGCTATATTACAGTCCAAAAAGTTTTTTTTTTTTTTAAATGCAAGCTATTGGGACACCAGTGAGTGAGTGGTGGCACTGGGCAAGTGGGCACAGTATATGCTGTGAGCCTGACACAGGTGGCAGGCAGGCAACTGCAATTACATTACACAGAAAAAAAAAGACTGATGTTTAGCCCTAAAAAGGGCTTTTTGGGGTGCTGTCCTTACAGCAGAGATCAGATGAGTCCTTCAGGACTGTAGTGGACACTGAATACACTAGCCTAGCTATCAAATTCCCTATTAAATCAGCAGCAGCTACACTGTCCCTCCTCTCACTAAGAATGCAGCTTCACAATGAATGTAAAATGAATGCTGTCCAGGAGGTGGGAGGGTCTGCTGCTGATTGGCTGGAATGTGTCTGCTGACTGTGAGGTACAGGGTCAAAGTTTACTCAATGATGGCGAATAGGGGGCGGACCGAACAGCGCATATGTTCGCCGTCCGTGGCGAACGCGAACAAGCGATGTTCACCGGCGAACCGTTCGGGACATCACTAATGCTAACATATGGCCTATTGTTGCTGATTTTGCTGACGTTGGAGGATGATCCATCTTTGGGGTGGGAAAGGCTAAAAAGGAGATTGTAATAAATTTGTAAGAAATCCTGAAAAATCTTTTTAAATTGTAAAGCTTAATGAATAAAAGGCAGGTTAAATTCTTTACCTGCAGAGTTGTGTGGTTTTAAGAGTGCTTTCAGCAGATGCAATGTGAAGCCGTATACTGCCGCTTTAATCGCGTGCACGATTAGCTGTGAGCACCCTTAACCGCCATATTGGATTTTGGTGGAGATCATGCTGCTCGCGAGCATCAAATGCAACGCCATTTCAGACCCAGAGGGGGCAGGAATGGCGCCAATATTGGACTCTACATACCTGCAGGGACGGCTAAATAGCCAGCAATGGTACAGGATGCCAGTTCTTGCCGAAGGGGGACTGACCCCTTTGCATCCCAGGGGTCCCCAACTAAAAAGAGTTATACCTAGTCTTTCCACAGAGGGAGTCTGACCTCTGACGGAAAGGTCTAAATTCATAGATAGGTGAGCATAAAATTAAACATTTTTCTATTAAATACCTGTACCTGTCTGGCTAGGAGGACAGGAAATAACTGAGGCTACTGGGGCTCTCTCTACACCTAAGGTTAATAATTTACATTTTTTTAATTGGTATTTCTGTCCTATTGGCTGGAAGGAGGAGCTATCCCATAAGTTAAAGGACCACTCTAGGCACCCAGACCACTTCAGCTAAATGAAGTGGTCTGGGTGCCAGGTCCCTCTAGGATTAACCCATTTTTTTTTATAAACATAGCAGTTTATAAAAAACAGAGAAACTGCTATGTTTATAAATGGGTTAATCCATCCTCCAAATCCTCTATTGGCTGTCTCATTGACAGCCGTTAGAGGCGCTTGCGTGATTCTCACTGTGAAAATCACAGTGAGAACACGCAAGCGTCCATAGGAAAACATTATGAATGCTTTCCTAAGAGATCGGCTGAATGCGCGCGCAGCCAGCCAAATGAGAGGATCGGAGGAGGAGAGCTCCCCGCCCGGCGCTGGAAAAAAGGTAAGTTTTAACCCTTTTTCTCCCCAGAGCCGGGCAGGAGTGGGAACCTGAGGGTGGGGGTGTGTTTTCCTGGCACTATAGTGGTCCTTTAAGTGCTGGAATGATTAGTCTAAATAGATAGACATACACACAGATAATACACACTCAAAAGAAGGTAATGTATATATAACTTGAAAAATAACTAGGAACAAACTTACCTGCAAGCAAGTACCCACATAGTGGATGTTGACTACAAGATCCAGAGTCATGTAACTTTCATCAACATGTACATCAATTTAAGTTTTTCTCAAATACTATTTAATTTAATAAAGTTGTGATGCAGTTATGTATTACAGTTGTTTGCTAGGGTCCTCAGTCTGTACTGCATGGATCATTTTCTCATATACCGAAGACCACAAGGGCAATCCAACAACTTTGATTGGCAGGTAAGAAAAATCCCTGAAAATAGTTTTGATCTGTATGCTGCTTTATACAGGTATATAGTTATGACATTACAATGATGGAAATTAAGGCATAGATATTAACTGGTTTGAACAAAAAATAAATGTTTAGGTTTTTGGAAGTCTGCCTTTGCTACCATGTCTCCGATATTTCTTAAACTCTTATGTGCAAAAATAGGAGGTTGTTTCTGAAGAGGTGGCCATTACACTCACTCAGTCCTCTGGCTTTTGTCCCTGCTGCTCTTATAATTCTGAGTGTGCAATATCTCGGTCAATCTGCGCTGTCCAAAGTACAGTTCACAATATTTAACTTTTTTTTTTTTTGGGTTAGATTTGATTTGATTTTTAAACCCTAAAGGGTTATATTTAAATGTATTTATTTATTTTTTTGTTTAAATTTTGAGAGAGAGGCACAGGTGACGATTTGCCTTATACTGCAGGGTCCTCAGCGAAAAGCATTGATAACTGGGTACCCCCCTAATGATTTTACCCATGATATTCCTGTCTTCACTGCAACTTCTGAAGTATGGGCTCCTGTCTAGCTATAGCCCGCTTGAGTTTATGCAGCTGTCCCTGGGGGATGATATTTTAGGGGAGATTGTCACCCAGACTGATTACGCCAAGCAGTATCTTGCTTAGAAACAATAGTCTATATCGCCAGAAAAGAGAGCGGTGACCAAAGAAAAATATACATTTGAGGTTTTGGATAGCGATGTCACTTTAAAATTTTTTTAGTTTTGACACTGTATTTTCTATAAACAGATTAATCAAATACACTTTAATTCATTTAGATCTAGCACTATCTAATTAATCTCCACGTTGGAATTAGTGTAGGATCCCAACAATAATGGTTTAGTAGGGACAAGTTGGAAAATTGTCTGGAACATCGTCAACCCCTTACTAAATAAATAATATAAATTTTACATTGATAATTGCTATATCTCACAGCATACCACTCCTGAACATGCTGAACTGTTGAGAAATGATATTAACACTCTGTATGAGAACGGAGTACAGCAGCGGTCAGTGAAGAAAAAGCCTGGACACAGTCTAGTGTGGAGATAGTGGGGGAATTAGCAGCCTGGGCATGGCCAGCACTAACCTAAGGCTGCGATAGTGGGTGTCATGTCTGGGTTAATGGCAGTAGGGGATTGATGGGTGTTGGAGTAAAAAGTATAGTTTTTAACTGTGGGGTTGAACACTCGCCAACAATTGCACAGTGCATTTTGCCACAATAAGTTTTAAAATTTGGTGGTATCTGGGCCTGTGAGAGTGGGGGCATTTTTCACATGACTCCTGTCTGCTAGGATTAGGAACACTGTTGAAGTCACCTCCTATTATCAGAGTACCCATCGCAAATGTATCTATTTTACCAATTAAGTTGTTGAAAGTTCTGAGAGGGGAAGTATTAGAAGCATATATGTTAGAGTTTATAAAATGTTTATTTTTGCTATCAGGATTTGATATTGCCCATTTTTTCTCCTTTGATATTTGATGTTGCTCATTCTTTCTCCTGAAAAATCTCTTCAACTTTCAGATTACTGGAAAATATTAGGGCTACCCCTCCTTTCTTTATTTTTGTTATTTCACTATAACTAGAAAAAAATTGCAAAGGAAATCTCGTAGCCTTCCACAGTTTTGTAGGGACTACTACCCAGTGAGTTTTCTGAATGAATGCCACATCGACATTATAATGACTCAGGAGGTTAAATAAGCACCCTCTCTTATATGGGGAGTTCGACCCCTTGGTATTAATTGAGAGATATCTCAGTGACATCAAATTGAAGTTTAAACTCTATACTTACCCTTTCTTCCCCTTCCATTCCCTTCTTGCCAGTACCTTCTTCTGTCCTCCCTGTCCCCGCATCTCTCCAAATTCCACACTATCACAATAGTCCAGGTAATAAACCTAAGCTGCAGTGAATACACAACATTCATACCAGAACAACACAATAACACTATACATTACATGTTAATCTTCCTTTGACGTCTAACAGGTGAGAGAGCTCAGGAGGAAGAAGAGCTGTAGTAAAGTAACGTTATCTTCCACTCTGAAAGAAAAGGAAAAAAAACACCTTTGGCCAGAATCTCTAATCTCCTTCCCTCATTTTGCAGCTTCCCATGTAAAAAGTTTGGGAATTAATGTGCTAATCGAAGAGAGAAGGAAAGGGGAAGAGAGGGGGCGGGGGGAAATTCCTTTCTCTTCATTCTTCTCAATTCTGCCTCCTCCCCATTTATCCGTGCCAATGATCCACTCCGCTTACGATATACTCTTAAAAGCCTAATGGATTGATGTATATGCCTTAAATAATTGGTGCTATGTATTTACTGAGAGTGTTAAGTGGCTGTACTTCCACTTACTAAAATAAAAAAAAACTAGCAAATTAACGTATTTTAATCCTTGTAAAAAAAAAAAAAAAATTACCATGTGCATAAATCTCCTTATGATTTTCATTCTTTTCAAAATTTCACTACCCTTAGTGGTAATTTGTGTTTATCGCTATGTTTATCTGGTATTCCCTATATCGTTGTTTCTTAAGTTACCTATACTACCTATGCTATCCTTTTTTTTTTTTTTTTGCAAATATTACTTTTATTTTTAATTAAGATATTTTTGTTATTTTTTTTGCAGTGCATGTAATGATTACAAACTGGCTGGAGGTACCCCAACGGCAATCCTTGAGCGACTCATTATACTTATCAAGTGGGGTATTCGCTAAACAATGCACAATTTTATGGTATAAGAATGATAACATGCTATGATACATCATAAAAGTATAATGAAGGTACAATGCTTACAAATATAAATGTTATGCTTAGAGTGGAAGGCGTGTGGTACAGTATGTGTGAGGAAAAGCAAATATTTTATATAGTTTAACAGGCTGGAACATGTGAGGAGTGCGTGTGAGAGTTGTCAGTGTGTGCTCCTTGGGCATTGGTACGATAGAAAACTAATAGTGTTGATGGATAAACCAAATATAACTAAACAGATTGATAACAGACATAAATAAGTCCAGCTCCTACCAAGCCGGCAGGTAGAGAAATGTGCCCCCAAGGTCGTGAGTTCCAGCTATGGCTCTGGGTGCTGTGTGAGGTTTCACAGCCAAGAAAGCTAGTGTCCCGACTCACCCTGGGTGATTCACCCTATGACTCGTTAGGGCTGCTGTTGCCTGAGATGTCGCGTTGCGGTGCAGCTATCGGGTGGGTCTGTGTGGAGTCTACTGGCTGAACCGTGCCGCTGGAGTAGGGTCACTCCTGCTACTTTGTGTACCTGAGGCGGTCCTTTGCTTGGGTCGACTGTCCCCTCCGCTTTGCTGTCTTGCGTGGGAGGGGTGAGTGCTTGACCCTCTGCCATCTTCTGGCTTCTGGTTTCTG